TAAAAAAACACAATACATAACCCAATTTTTTTGTAAAATATAAAAGATGATGTTGTGCAGAGTAAATAGATAACAAACATGTCATGCTTTAAAATTGCGCACACCCATGCAGTGGTGACAAACTACGTAAATTTTACTATTCATAGGCAAGGCTTTAAAAGCCTTTACAGGTTACCACATTAAATTTATGGAGGAGGTCTGATGTTGGAAGGACAGGGCACTTTAATTTTTTTTTTTCCCTTTATTATCATTTTTTTAAAATTATTTTTACACTGTTGCTTTTTTTAATCACTTTTATTGCTGTCACAAGGAATGTAAACATTCTTGTGACAGCAATAGGCATGTGACAGGTACTCTTTAGGGATAGGTCTGGAGTCTATAAGACCCCAAATCCCTCATCTGCACTTAAAAGCATTCAAAACACCAAGATCTGTGTTTTTGAATGCTTTTATTTTTATGAAAATGATGCCATTTACTTCCAAGTAAATCAGAAGTGATGTCAGGTCATCACTTCTGGTTTACTATAACAGAGAGCCTATCCAAGCCGATCCCAGCTTTGTTCGATTTTCCAGCCAGCCGGCAAATGCGCTTGCTGGCTGCTCGGGTCTCCTGGTGGCATGGGGAGCCCGAGCAAACCACGGAAGGCAGGGGGAGGGGGGGATGTTCCCTCCTGATGCTTGTAATAGCAATCAAGTGGCTACTTAGCCATTCTGATTGCTATTACAAGAAGGCTGACCGAAATACAGGAAGTCATTAAATCCTGGCAAAGATTCTGAAGCTTCATTTCTCCTTAATTTTTATCATTGCTGCCCATGTCCGTATAGTGGGATGGGGGGATTCCTAATTGACCATATTTTGACATATGCAAATTTATAAAGGAGCTGTTAAAAGAAAAGTACATTTTTCTCAGGGTACTCCTTAGGATCAATTAACATTTCTAGATGTTCACTATAACATAAGACCTTCACCTACCTCAGGTCCCTAATATTTTCCTCCAGGTGGCCACCCACACTGGGGTGTGCTTCCTCCTAGCAAACACCAACTCTCGGGTGTTCTTTCCTTCACTCGTGGCAGGATGTTTTTCCTCCCACTTTCCCTAGGACATTTTTCCTACCACTGATACTGGGGCATTTTTTCTGATTACCCTACCCTAATTATTGTAGACGGGTATTTTATTCTATCAACTGATGCTTAGGCATTTTTTCTGATTACCCTTCTCTAATTATTATTAGATATTTTTTCAAAACTCCAGCACTACCACAAACATTGTGGACCAAATTTCAAAAAAGTGATTGCTGCAGCTGTTTTCATATGTTCCCACACCAAAGAAATATATTCTCCCTTGACGCGTTTCGTCATCCAATAATGACTGCTTCAAAAGGATCCTTTCTTCTGAAGCAGTCGTGATTGGATGACCAGCTGCTTCAGAAGAGCCCTTCTTTCTGAAGCAGCCATGATTTGATGACAAAGCGCGTCCAGGGTGTGGCCCGATTTCGTCATCATGCAAACAGGAACCGGAAGTCTTGGAGATGTATCTGAAGCCAAAGTCAAGCCTTAAGGTGGAAATTGTTGGTTTTAAAGAGGCAATCTATTCTTTGTGCACTGGATGTAGTGCACTAATTTTTGTGAGTGAGATTTTAACCCTTTATTTTAATAAACTGTTATGGTGAGCTGAGATATGCAATGGTGTTCTTTTTGTTCCTCTGAGCAAATATATGGAGGAATGGTTTTTCTTGTGAGGCTAAGACTTGGATAAAAGCTGCATGGAGACAGAGCCCTTTTAAAGGACAAGCCGCATATTGACCTAGTGTAACAGGTCAAAACCTGAGGCAAGCAGCCTGTTTGGAAGGTGGAAGAAGCACTTCTTGTGGTGGTGATTTGTTTAAATACCTGAACTGATCAATGTTTTTTCCATATGGATTCTTTTTAAGGTGGAAGAAGAAAGCAGTGGACTTTTTACATACATTTATTTATTTCACTATAGTTTGTTTTTCACTATTTCCATGTTCTTTGCACAGGTGTGGATGCCTATTTTTGCATAATAGTGTTTTGGATTTGGTACTTTATATTTAATGATGATATACATATAGATGAGTCTTTTTTTAGTAACTTGTATTTAATTTATCTATATACGGATGCATTGCATTTGTATGATGTCTTTTATGTATTCACATTACTTTATATGGCTTTTAGGGATATATATTTTGATTGCGTGGAATTTGATTTGTATATATATGCCTTCCCTAATTATTGCAGCCAGGGCATTTTATTCTTCTAGCTGAAGCTGGGGCATTTGTTTCTCTTTCAGTGATATGGACATGGGAACATTCTTCCAACCACTCTTTTCTAATCACTGATGTTGGGGCATTTTTTTCCCTCCCACTTATGTTGGGCTTTTTTTCTCCTACTGAGCACTGCCTGCTGTTTTGTATGTTATATACTGCAGACCACTGCTCTGTATACACTTGCTGCTACACAATAGTCTTAGCCTGATTACATGAGTAACTATTCTGTTTAAGAGACAATCCTAGCAATCCTAGCAGCAGGGTGCTTTGACACTGCTGATGTGTTTTTGTTTGTTAGTTTGGTACTGACTGTGTCTCTATGGATATGTTACTCGTGTGAGTGCATTTTCAGTTTTTATTCACCTTCTCTGAGTAAAGTATGATTTTTCTCTTGCTACAGTATTGTAAGTTTTGGTAAATACATTCTGGTGCTGTTTACAGTGTGTGTTTCATTTTGGGTAGTGTAGGGAAGGTTTAAAATCAGTTTTTTATTGCTATCTGTGCTCTTGTTTTGGAGCTTTACCCTCTTTTTTTGGAGTGCTGACTATTGTAAGTGAGAGAAAATCTAAACCTTTTAACTTACTGGTACAGGAACAGTGAGCATATATTTTAATGGGGACACTAGTTCCAATGACAGCTATCTAAGGGCTAGTTCATACATGTGTCGATTTATGAAAAATGAGGCAATGTGTATGAAGTATTTTGGACACTTTTTTAAACATTGAAAAAGCATTAGAAAAGCTTATCAAACGCCCATGAAAGTGCTGCTTTTCTAGGGGAAATGTTGTAGAGGAAATGATCTGCTTTGATGCATGTTTAGGTTATGGTGTGGTAGCAGATATTTTAGTGATTTCTCTGTATGATGGATTCGTATACTGTGATTTCTGAGACACTTGGCTTGGTCGAGTTGAAAATGATTTTGGAAAGACTGTCACAGTCATTTGCTCGCACCGACACTTGCTGGCACTGACTCTAGCTGTCACCGACACTTTTCTGATACAAAAAGCTTTGCCACTAGCAATAATGCTCATTGCCTCTGCTCCTGCCTGGCACGGTCAATATTGCTGGCTGTCTTGATGCTTTTGCCTGCACACAGAAGCAAATGGAGTTACCACTCGACTGCTCTGTACAAAAGGAAGTGGCTGATGCTGCTCTGTCCTAGTTCTTGCTGCATTTCCCAGTGCATTCTGGGATACAAGAACTTCCTCTGGCTCTCTCCCATCACCCTGCTAACGCTTTTTAAATGATTCACTAATGCGCTGTAAACTCCTATAGGCGTGGTTACGCTGTTCTACGATTGACATTAATAGACGTAGCTGACAAGCAGCAATGCCTCTGAAAGCAACATGGTGCTTAGTTTTTAACACAACGCTACCACACCTATGTGTACTGCACTGTGTGGTGCCCACAGTAATATTCATGGCAGGCATTGAAGGGAAGTTAAGAGGCTTTAAACACAGGGTATTTACACACCTGTGAACAAGCCCTTAGGGTTTATTCACACCGTGGATTAAAGTGGAACTTTACCCATAACAACTTAATAAAAAATAATATTCTTTAGCGAGGAACATGCATTCCACATTAATAATTATGCTACCAAAATTAGTGTGTGCTGTAAATTGCCTCCAGTATTGCTTCTGTTTCTTCCTGCTGAAGGTTGCCATTTTGCTGAAGCCCAGAGCACCTGAACAGCAGTAAATAATAAACAGAACTAAAACCGGGATTGCTAACTCCAAACGCACACGTTCCTGCGGTAAAAATGGCTTTGTGTATAAGTGGGTGCTGCAGCGACCGTCGGCTGGAACCTAACAAAATCAGCAAGGAAAAATGTCACCAGCACTCCGAGGATCAACAATATGGGTCCAAAGGTTTTAATGAATAATCACATAGTTACAGCAAGGCAACGTTTCAGAGTCTCGCAGGACCCCTTCATCAGGCATGTCACATGCGAGACTCCGAAACGATGCCTTGCTGTAACTATGTGACCGTTCATTAAAACCTTTGGACCCATATTGGTGATCCTCGGTATGCTGGTGACATTTTTCCTTGCTAACTGCCACCTTCCACATTTGCTTGTGTCCTCAACCAAACTGTCAAACCATCAAATGGCTGGTGTCATCACTGATCACATGTGCAGTATCATGGCAGTTGCAGCTCACACAGAAGCAGCTTCCTTGGCTGTAACGGATAGGAGGGTTTAATTACACTTTAAGGCAGATCGGCCTCTACAAATTCGACAGTGCCTAAAAATAGAGCGCAACTGAGCATGTGCAGAGCAGGGTGAGACAGTGTATCACTGGATTTTAAACAGTATAGGCCCTTTTTTCATGTTTTACATAGCTAGACATGCTAAAGGGACCAACCTGAAGCAGAACTTTAATTTTCTGACTAAAGTTACACTTTAATGTGCTTTGGGGGGTAATGCTATGTGTGTGCGTCCGGGTGCTACTGAAAATATATGGCACCACATCAAGCTAAAACTGAAAACCGTGAACTGACACTAAGAGAGGATTACTCGTTCTTTAGTGAGATCTTTTCTTACTTTCTGGCATATCTTGAGGCTGGAAGGGATGGAAAATCTCCCCAGAAGGACCCATACACAGAAATCCAAAAATAAACCTGAGAAGGGTTTTAACCACACTCCACCCTATCAAAAATTTAAACCAAATTAAACTATTTTACTTTACATAAGTTTCATTTTACTTTCTCTTTCAGGATCAATTACAATTTGGCAGGAGGTCTGCACCCAGCTGGTTTTCACGTGGTCAACATACTACTACATTGCATAGTCTCTGTCCTGATGCTTGAAGTTTTTTCACTGCTGTTTTGCAGTGGAGCTACTGACAAAGGCAAGAAAATCCTGTATGCTCCAAAATCTGCGCTGCTAAGTGCTTTATTGTTTGCAGTCCATCCTGTACACACAGAATGTGTAAGTATCTGTTCCCACACAAAATCAAATAGTTGCACTTTTTAAATAGGAAAAAGTTAAAATGTGCTTTTACTAATTTTTGAGTTTGTGTAATTCCTTTGGATGTGTACAGTTGCACATTTGTACAGCTATGTTCCTGTGAGAACTAAAATATGGACTCCACAATATTCACAATTCACCTCCAACAGATTATTCTTACTGTATTATGGCCACTCCATGAACTTTATCACAATGGTTTGGAGGGTTTTAGTTTAGTAAGCAATAGCAGGCAACTCAACAGTAGCATCTAGAAACCACTGTTTGTATTCATCCCTAGGGTTTGGGGAAGATTGGGTGCCCCGCAACTCCCTTTTATTAGCTTAACAATGTGAATTACATATAAGGCCAACAGTTTGCATTGCAACCAATTGCATTTTCATTGCATAACAAAAACAACCAGAAAGAGTGATACTCTGATTCAGGGCAAATGTAAACACAGAAGGTACCAGAAACCAGCCTTTGCAAGCAAAGAAATCTGACATCTGCTTTAGTTTTTAAAATGTGTTTATTTTTTAGTGAAAAATATGTTTATTAATAAGAATTTTCAAAGTGAAAGTTATTTTTGTGGATTGTTGGTCTCAGAATGCTATCTTTTATGTATAGGTGTCTGGAATTGTTGGCAGGGCAGATCTTCTGTGTGCATTATTTGTTGTTTTATCATTTCTTGGATACTGCAAAGCTCTACCAGGATGTAAGTATTCCTATTCATAGTACAAAAGCTGTGTTACTACTTAAATTAAAACAGTATGTTAATGAAGTTCATCTGAGGGAGATCTCTGTTCTTTATTTTTTTTTAAAAATCAACCACCCAAGTTGCTAAACCAATAAATGTGATGCTTTTCTTTTCCCTTGACCAAATGACTTGTCAGCAATTATTACAGTAAACCAGCCACAGCAGATAAATACATTTAAAAATTATCTGGCCACTTGGCTGGCAAGGAGTACAGGTACATGGGTTTCATATACAGTGCCTTGAGAAAGTATTTATACCCCTTGAACGTTTCCACATTTTGTCATGTTACAACCAAAAATGTACATGTATTTTATAGGGATGCACCAAAATTTGGCCACCAAAACATATAAGCTGAAATGTAATTACCGGCTTTTTTTTTTCTTCGCTATAGCACACAGAATCAGCTGTCACTTCCCCCCCAGCTAAAAGAAACAAAGTTTCCTTTTAGTTTATTTCCCAGAGTTAAAATAAACTATGTTTCCTTTTAGATATTTTCTCAAGATAAAAGAAACAAAATTTCCTTTAGCTCTGGGGAAAGTGACAGCTAATTCTGTGAGCTATCGTGAAGAAGAAAAAAAGCCGGTAATTGCATTTAAAATCGGCACCAACATATAGTGACAGCCAGTGAGGGAGCCTCTCTGTATACACTGCTCCTCTCCTGCCCCTTCCTTGCACAAACTGCCTCCCCTCTCCCTCCTTCCTACAAAGAGGACCTGTCATTCATAGGCTATTGGTCCCCTGTGTGACAGCAATAAAATCATAAGTTTAAAAAATAAAAATATACATGAAAGTAGAAAAAAAATCCAATAAAAACCCCCACAAGAAGAAAGCCAGTGTGGAAAGAAATCCATAGGAAGTTCCATTTGCAGTTTGCGAGAAGTCATGTGTGGGACATAGCAAACATTTGGAAGAAGGTGCTCTGGTCAGATGAGACCAGAAATTGAACTTTTTGGCCTAAAAGCAAAACTCTATGTATGGAAAACTGACACTGCACATCACTTTGAACACACCCATCCCCACCATGAAACATGGTGTTGGCAGAATCATGTTGTGGGGATGCTTTTCTTCAGCAGGGACGGGGAAGCTGGGCAGAGTTGATGGGAAGATGGATGGAGCCAAAATACAGAGCAATCTTAGAAGAAAACCTGTTAGAGTCTGCAAAATACTTGAGACTGGGACAGAGGTTCACCTTCAAGCAGGACAATGACCCTAAACATACAGCTAGAGCTACAATGGAATGGTTTAGATCAAATCATATTCATGTGTTAGAATGGCCCAGTCAAAATCCAGACCTAAATTCAATTGACTTAAAAATTGCTGTTCAAACACGATCTTTACAATCTGACAGAGCTTGAGCTATTTTGCAGACGAATGGGCAAAAAGTTCACTCTCTAGATGTATAAAGCTGGTAAAGACATACCCTAAAGACCTGCAGCTTGTAACTGCAACAAAAGGTGCAAATGCACGCCACTTTTAAGATATTTATTTGTAAAAAATTTTGAAAACCATTTATCATTTCCCTTCCACTTCAAAATTATGTGCCACTTTGTGTTGGTCTACCATATAAAATCCCAATAAAATACATTAATGCTTTTGGTTGTAACATGACAACGTGGAAAAAGAGGTATGTATAGTTTTTTGAGGCACTGTACACAAAAAAAAAAAACTGTAGCATAGATTTTACTAAATTACACTAAGGGATACAAACACAAACCGCAATTAAAATGTGCTCCCTCCTCATTCAGATGGAAAATGTTTGGATGGGCACTGCATTTATTCCTTCATAAGTTTTTTTTGACGTACACACTACAGTGACAAAATTTCAATCTTTCACTACATGTTTAGGAAAATATTTAAGTCAAAAGTTAGCCACAGATTTGTGTGCACGATGCTTGTTAAGATCTCCTATGTATGTTCACAACAAATGAGGTTCTCCATTTATGCCTGGCCTTCGTGGAGCTCTCACATCTGTTTTAAGTGCACTGTCTTTAACATATGCAAAAAATAGCAGTGCTCTGACCTTTCATATTTTATAGAGAAATCCCTGCTGTTAGATGAGAACAAAGGATTCATGACTGCCTCTGATAAAAGCACTAACGCATCCATAAGTATATTCTGCAGAGGAAACCTGATGAGAAAATACAACTGTTTTCCAATGAAAAATTGTGTTAAATGTTATAAACTTGATAAATTGTCCATTCTGCACTGGGTGAGGAATATTTTAAAAAACTTTTAACAAAATCATTACCATTAAATAACAGAACTCTAATGGACAAGAACTTTTCTTGATTGCTGACCTATATATAATTCGTAGTTACATCATCTGTCACTTGAACTCCATAGATGCAAATAAGAGTTTATATCTACAGAAAATGTACTAAGTATCTGCTAATACAGACTCTCCAGCACATTCCAGTTTACTTGTCGCATCTTTGTGCTTCATGTATGTATCCCAGTACAATGACCGTTATTACAATATATTTGAATAGAATTTTGCTAAAATAACTGATCATATATGTAGTATGCGTGTGTATGTGTATGCCTACACACACACTCTCTATTTCTGTGTATCTCTCAGTATTCTGCAAACTTTCATGTAGCAGTTGATCCTTTTATTCAGTTAGAATTACAGTGGTCAGCAATTACAGTTCATTGACAATGGTAGAGCATTGTCTTTATTTTGTATAATTTTTCTATTTATCATACTTTACATTCATCACTGAAACCACCATTTATAGCAATCTCAGCTTTGCTGACCTTTGGCTATCTACCTGTCAGTATGGGAAGATATTCAGTGGGAAATTTCAATGTTATTGTAGCTCTTTCTAAAGCTGTAACTGGCTTGCAGGGAATTTTTGTCTGATATTTCAGCGAAGCTCTGCCTACAAGAGCTTGCTAGGATTAAGTGATTTGTAGATGCCAGTTCTTCAGAGGCAGCACTTGGGCTTCCTGTTACTTCAACAAATAGGGTTTGTATAGTTTAGAAGTATGATTCATATTGCACTGATCACAGGGGGTTCCATGACATTGTAAAAGCTTAACTTTGTGGTTCATTAGTTCATTCACTCTGCAACTTACCAACACTAAAGCAGCCCCATACATTTACATTTCCTTCTCTATGTTTGACAGAAAGCAGAATGTGCTCCTCCATTATCTTTCTGTTTGGATCAAAAAGAAGAACCTAAGTGAGAAATGTCTGTAATATTTTGTCAGTTTTTCCATTTTTATTTGCCAGTTTCAGATATGGCTTTTTTTTTAAATCCTCCTTCTAAGGCCAATATCCCTTGTTTTTAGTGCTACACATTACCCTGGCATTTGGTGTGTACTGTTTAAAAAAACAGCCAACTGAGGACCTTTGTAATTCATATGTTTCTCACACTGCAGATTCTGAGATACCAAAAATCTTCTGCAATTTTGCATCTAGTTTACCCTCTTCCTTTGAAATCATAGTGGGCATGTGTAGAATTTTCTGAGACAAATATAATAATTCTTTAGTGTCTATAGTCGATTTTGGAATAATTAAAGTGCCAGCAAAATAAAAAATAAAGTGTGATTTTATTTGTCACACAATGGCTTAAAATAACAATGTAAAAGATATCATGAATAACATTTCAGTATAGGTAAAACAAAAAATATCAAAACAGAAGTTTTAAAGATGTGTCACCCTTATTTTCCTATGTGCTTCTTGTCTTGTTCAAATGCAGCGTGAGTTTTAGCAAGAAGAAGGAAGTGACGTGATCTTGGGTCTCCTAGAGAATGCACCTGTTTCAGCTTCTCAGAATGTGAAGAACAACAGTGTCTCCATGCTTTGCTTGTGCATGTCTGTGAGTGAATGGATGGACGTGTATGTATGTGTTGTGTATTGCGCCCTTTGCATCTCTTAGGATGTCTTTTTATGTTACATGTAGAAATCATAATACGTGATCTTAGAACCTTTTATGGCAAACAATACTGCTTAGTAGAGCAATGTCATTGAAGGGAGGGGATATTACATATATCGTCTTTTGTTTGAAAAGCCCATATGTAGTGGTTTCATAAGTTGACAATGTTGCATCAGCCAACCCATGTGTCAAAGTTACTGAATCTATCTTTACAACATAATATCTCAATAATGTTGTATAACCAAAAATCTACTTATGTAACGCATATTACCAACTTATAAAACATTAATGAAATACACACAGATACTACTAGAATATGTATGTATTAATTCATACTATTCTATTTTGGTTTACTCCCATGACATCGTATACTAGAGACCTTTTAAGCAGCTTTGCCCTTCTATAGAATACTCAGCTTCCAGCTAGTTAGCTTAACTCCAAATACATTTTTCTGTCTCAGCTATAACTGAAAAATTCAACACTATCACTTGTTCAAGGCAAACCACACATTTTAATATTAATTATGAATAATCATAAAAACCAAATATTTTGCAAGCTTGCCATCAATATAATATACAGTATGTGCCCAAATTATGAATTTGGAATTAATGTTTAACAATTCCCCCTAATTATGATTAATCCAATTAATTAACAAATGCGCACTTAATCCATGGCCCACTCACACAGCCTTGTATCAAATGATCTGACATATTATTCTTCAGAACTGGACCAGCTAGAAATAACTTTCCTTCTAATCTCTGTTCTCCTCTCTTCAGTTTCTCTTTCTATAAAAATTCCTAATCACAATACTGATTTTAAATATGATATAGGATGATAATAATAGTAATGCAATAATAATATATTAATTTATGTAATAATATATTTCCATATTTGTGCAATAATATTTTAGCTCTCTGGAAATATACTTTACATTCTAAAATGTGTCTAAAATGCGATTGTGTTTTTTTTTTTTTAACCTTTTAACAAAAGATGTTCTATTAACTAGAATGACTCTGTGAAGCATTAGCCAAAACATATTCAGTATATGAATGTGTAAAAATAATAATAATAATAATA